CTAAATTGTTCTGCACTTACAACTCTTAAAAAAAACTATTAAACCTTACACTAATCATTTAGATTTAATATACTCTATTGCAATTCGTTATCTGCTCCATATCCTATCTACTCCTAGTATCACTTATAACTCTGCTTCAATTTTACCTATATTTGAATCTAGATCTATTACTAATATATTTCAAACTATTGCCAACTTTAATACTCAACTTTCTGAAATTACTTTTTATACAAATGGTTCTGTATTAGACTTTGGGACACAAGACTACTTATGGATATTAGATAGGTACAAATTTATCAGAATAATATATTACACAAATTCTAAGTGCAAATCAAATACTGGCTATGCTCTTTCAAAGCAGAACTTGTTGCTATATTGTTAGCAATCAGCACTGCACCTAGATCTTGTATTATTCATATTTTTACAGACTCACAATTTGTTATTTCTAAATATAATAGCTTTTAAAATTTACTACACTTTCTTTCTACTACAAACACTCTATATTCGACATTGTGGTATATCTTTATTAACTTTACTTAATCATACAATCACCAAATTATTTTTCACAAAGTCACTGCATATCAAGAGTATCGATTTAATAATCTTGTTGACCAATTGGCTTGTAGCTACCTTACCTCAGATTTTCTTATTTTTAAACTTTATAATATCTACAATCCTAACAATTCTCTTCAATTAGATAAATACTCTCTAGAGTTACTAACTCAATGTAATATTCATACTATATATTATTCATATATTTATACTCTGTAGTCATCTCAGAGCAAATTTTAACAGTGGTCTCGAATTGCTGCTTATATTTACTTTATCTATTAACTTTATTTTGTCTGGACTAGTTTCTCTTGATATTATAAATCTACTCAAGGACATTACTTCATCTACTACATTAGCATCAACTATTAGATTATACAAACTTAATAAATTGGTTCTCATAATATAAAATTTTTAAAAGTGACCCAGCAACCTGGCTTTTAATTTTATTTTCAAAAAATTATATATATAAAAAACATATAAAATTTTTTATAGATTTTTTAAAAAAACTCATCCAGATAATAAGTATACTTGAAATTTTTTTTTAGAGTTTTATAAATTTCGATCTGGTCAGATTATAAGAACTGATTTATTATGCTTATATAGCCTTACTATTAAATTTCTTTTATATCTTAATTCACAAATTTATCACAATATCTGGATACCTTATTATATTTTCTGTTCTTCAATTCAATTTTCTAACAATACTATACCTTTTCTACTAGTTCTATCTTTTTCTACCTCTCAGTTTTCTCAAACCTTACTACTTACTACAGCTAGTATTAAAATTGTTTATAGTATTTTTATAGATTAAATATCAAACAAATTTAAACTATATAATTACTAATTTACAAATCTAGATGAGCTATAGCCACCCTAGTTGGTTTAGGCTGCAGATAAATTAGTTTGAGTTTTTTTTCTTGCTATCTTGGGATATAAAATTTAAATAGATTCTTTTCTTTGTAAGAATTTTCTTTTTATTGTAAAAGAATTAAATTAAATTTTAATAAAGTCAGAGACATGGTCTCACCATTAATATTCAAAAAAAAATATATATATAAATAATATAATTAAAGCAATACAAATCTATAATGATCTTAGAATTCTGTAATTGAATTTTAATAATTTTAAACTTGTTAGAATCATCTTATTGAGATGAACATTTTGGTAGCAAAATTATCTAAAATAAACCACTAGTTTAAAAGTTATTTAATATTGAAATTTAAAAAAAAAAATTTTTAAATTTTTAAAAAATTTTAGCCAATCAAAATGCAGTATTTATAATCAGATAAGGGGAGAGGATAGCCTCTTAGTAGCAAAAAATTAGATGATAAATAGCATACCCTTATATTAGTTTTAGTTTTTATTTTCTGCTTTTTTGACTATATAAGAGGGCATCCATAAATAATGTTATGCTAGAGGGGGTTTATGCTACAGAACGGATTTTTTTAATATATTAAGAGGGGGGTTAAAAAATAATAATGCAATTATTATATAGGGTTTCAAAATTAAGTATATAATATTGATCATGCATCGATTCATATTACAAAATTTGTCTAATTGAGCAAATGATTGGCTAACAGTACTGTACAGTAGCACATATCAGCTAATCATTTACACAATTGGACAAATTTTACGATATTTATCAACATATAACTCAATATTTGTATTATCTGGCAATTCATGATCATGATTTTTAAGTCGTGATTTGCTAACTGAGTTTTAATTCAAATAAATATGATTACGACATAACACCCCAAAAAATAATAAAAAAAATAAATCTATGATCATACAGTAAGAGTTTGCCGGATAACTTTTGAATATAATTGAATATAATGCACCTGATATCGACATCAAAATCAGTTATGTAATCACTTTTTAAATTTAAATTTGTATACAAAAATACCAAAATTATGATAAAATATTTTTTTTTATATATATATTTATCCAACTTATTAGAATTTATTTAAATTATTGCTACAAATTCCAAGTCAAATTACATTAAATTTGAATATGCAAAATGTATTTATGTCTAAATTTAAATTTAATGCTACTAGTAAAAGGTATTTTTTTTATGTCCATTCCAGGTTTTTAGAAATTTTTTGCTCGTTCAAATCTTTAATGCTATCTACCATTTTTTGAATAGATTTAAAGTTTGGTTCAATACTTTGAAATTATTTTTTTTGTTTGGAAGACTATTAGACTTTTCAAGACAGTCAAGCACCCAAAACATAAATTAATATATTTATTTAAATACGAAAATATAATATTAACCCAATTTTTTTATACCTCATGTAGAGTTTTCTGTATTTCTTAAATTTCCAATATAGATTTATTATCTTCAGTACTCAATTCCTCATTATCTATATTTTGATTTTCTGAATTTACCAGTTCGATCATTAAATTGACTTGTGTGTAATCAATTAAAGTGATGTTTGAATATTTTTCCATTAAGTTTTTTTACTTCTGTAACAAATAAATATTAAGAATTTCGTTGTATTTAATTAATATAATACTAGATTTAGAAATTTTTAATCATAATATATTGACAATCTTCTAGAAATAATGCGTCTATCTTTTCGAGAAGATTAACAAGATATTTGTATAAAAAGAATTTGTTTTTAAAAAAAATAAAAACAAGATTATGTCCAATTGCTACGTGTAGCTAATTTATTCTACTCAGTTTGGAGTCTTTACGCAACAATGATAATATTCGCTCATGTATTGTACTGGCAATAATTTTTCGATATAGATATGAAAATAAGATCAATACGTGACTGGTTGAATTGTACAAGTAATTCTTTTAGTATACCATATACATATTGCTTTCTCCTTCAACATCCAGAAGTTTTTTATAAATTATATATGTATTCAAGCTCTTCAGATTTATGGTATTTTTTTTTGCTCGTGAATATCATTTAAAATTCGATCCTCATCTTTCTGTTTTTTGTTTTTATTTATACGGCTTGTACACTCAAAACATAATTTATCATTAATAGGGTTTTAGAATTAACTTATTTTAAAAATAAGTGTGAGTTTAAACAGTCCTATTTCATGTTTTAAATTCTGAATCAAAAATTAAATAGGCATAGCTGATGGATGATAAAATTAGTTCTTTTGAAATATATTTACTAGTAAGCGGTTATGTAAATAAGTATATAAAAAAAATAGAATTTATATATCACTTGTTTTGAAATAAATACATCTCTTATTTTATCTGAAATCGGATGCCGAATCATTAATTCTGAAACCCCAATTTTAAATTCTGAAGAAAACTAATAAGATTATAAAATTTATATTTATAAACTTTAAAAAAAAATAAAATTAAAATAAAAAAAATAAAAAAAATAAAATAAAATAAAATAAAATAAAATAATAATCACTCAATTGAAATAAATACATTACTTAATTTCTTGGTTAACTTTGTTTATTTGATTTAGTTTCTAAGTGTATAAATTATTTATTGTCCTAAATATTTATATGAGCTGTTTACTTCTCATTTAGCATCTTATTTACATTAGTTTGTATAATTATCAAATGTCAAGAACATTTTTAAATTATCATTATACAGATTTGTATGACTAGATCCGTATAGTATAGAGAGTAAAATACCCTATTTATAAAATCTGTACTGAATTTTGACCAATGTATTGTTAAGATTAGCATTAGAAAATTATAGCAGATTGGCAATAACATAGTTTTTAAAGAAGTATATACCACTTTTCACAGTGAAAAAAGAATATATGCAGTAAAATCAAATAGCTATTTAACATTAACCAGTTTTTACAGGTTAAATGCAAATACACTACGTACTGATCGTGAGAACTTGTATGTCTCAAAAGGATTTTTTTTTATTGCTATGCAGGTCTTAAATATTATTTTGTGTCACCAATCCTGAAAAGTACTATTTTGGAAATAAGTACTTATAATCAGCAAATTAGAAAATTGTACCATGGCAAATTCTATGTATGCCAAGGGTCTGGTATCTTAAAATTCAGTAATCAGCATACCAAAGGTCTGGTAATATAATTAATCTAGTCTCATACAAAAATATGAAAAAAATAAAATTTATATAAAAAAAAGTGAACCTCTTAATTCATTAGGCCTATGTTTCTAAGTAAAAGAGATTGTATTAAAAATAAGCATTAACCTTATATTTAACTATCTACTCTTAAAATAACAAGAGCAATATAATACTATGAGTAAAAAAACTATACATCCAGAAGTGTATATTTCATTGCTAAAAGTTTATCAAGAAGCGAATCTAACAAAAAAAAAAGATATTGCTATTTGAGAAGCACAGGACCTGTGGAATGAGTTGAAAGGTAACAAAGATCTGCTAGAAAAAAAATCGAGTTACTAAAACTTGAGAGCGAAGAAAAAAAATAGAAAGGTGACTCTTTTTCGTTAAAGCCACCCGTCAAAGCTAAGAACGTAATACACTAAAGTATATGGAGGAACAAGCACAAGCTTCTTCTACTACTATTGCTGAAGATACCACTGAATATATTACTGAAAATACCACTGATGATACAACTGATCATATGTCTAAAAGGTGAGAAATGCTATCTCAAACTAAGTTAAAAAAAAAACTCATTCGGTTAAATCAGGAATTGTCGCAACTTCAAGATCTAGAAGATAGAGGTATGTTTTTATATGTTAAAAAAAGGTGATGATTATAATATTAAATATATTTAAGCAGGCCTACCACATAATTGATTGTGGAAGCAATTTTGTTAAATCAATTAATTAATTAGTGGTGTAGCCACAATTAATCAATTAATAATTTTTACTGCAGTTCACAAAATGATAAAATATGTAATAGGTGTTCACATAAGTATATTTATTCCTGGTTCCTATTTATATTTCCATACTATTTTTTTCATAGTTATTGTCCAGATCTAATTCTTGATTATTGTCCACAATAGTGATCTTGGCCGATAGTAAAAAAATCGGCTAAAAGCAATTATCAGCTTAGCCAGTCGATTTTTTTAAATTCAGCTGATCAATTTTACAGTATTACTACGATTATAGCATTCAAGATGGAAAATGAATAAACTTAATATATGTGCAAGGTTGAGCCAAAATTTTTAGTATAGTCTGAATTAATTGTAATTTTAAAATCGGCTAAACTGGCTAAGCTGGTGAAATTTATCAGCTTAGTTATAGTCACTAATCTACAAAGTGGACAATAATATATACTTATCTCATATCTAAACTTTTCACTCAACTTGAAGTAAAAGTTCAGGTTACTAAATGCTGTGGCAGTAGCATACCCGAACTTCTAGAGACTGTCTTGGTGTTATCTTATAAATCGGTGAAAAAATTTTAAACCTATTTTTTTTTTTTTTTTTTTTTACTATTCCTAAGCATGATAACAGGTACTAATAGTGATAGAAAAAAAAATATTCAAAATGAAATTTTAGCATCATCAAAAGCTTTATCAAAACTTGAAAATCAACAGAATATTTAGCAAAATTATAGAGATCAGAAAAGGCAGAAACTCCAGCAAGTTGAAGATCAATTAAAGGCAGCAGACATTAACACACAACTCATTAAGCCAGTTGGCCGTCTACGTTTAGAAGAAACACAGCCTGGTTTGTTGAAAACTATTTTGCGTCTTGTTTCTTCAGATGGACAGGCGGATGAACGAAGATGTTCAGAAATGATACAGTCTGTCAAGACTTTGAATCAACTTCAGGCTGCATTAGAACAAATGAATTACAAAATATCATGTTTGGCTACATATCTTAGACTCCTCTCAAAACAGTTTAATACTGAAGAAGGAAAGCGGCATGTCAAAACTGTACCTGTTAAACTTTTAAGATCACAAAATACTGCAAGAAAAAGGTATGAGGATATGCATTTCTGTGCTTCTCTAGTTAGAAACATTAAAGAAATAGTATCATTATTGGGGCCTCAAAGTGTTTTAACTATCTCCCAAGATGACAAAGCAAAGATACCTCTTGGTTTGGCTGCAGCAAACAAGCAAGCACCAATTCTAATGAAAGTAGAATACAGAGTAGAGCTTCCAGACCATGATTGGGTTATCGCTAAAAAGTACAAGTTAATTTCATCTATCTATACTATATTAAAAATGCAAAGTGGTAAGCAAAAGGATGATAAAGATAAAATACTAATATGGATCCGTTCAAAAATAATTTAAAAAATACATAAATTAGAATTTTATATATGGATTGCTTACAGTATATTTATGAATGGGCGATTTTTATATGTATTATTACTTACTATTATTTCTTATTATTTAATATTATATCAAATGTTTTACGCATATAGTAAGTAATAAAAACTGGCAAGGCTACCGAATAATTAATCGTGAGAGCAATTAATTGCAATTATTTAATCTCAATTAATTAATTGGTGGCATAGCAACAATTGGTTAATTAATTGGACGTCAAAATTATAGTTAAAAAATAAACTTATTATAATTAATATATAAAACTTGCAATTATTTCACAATGAATTGTTTATCTGTAACAATTTAACTGAATATAATTGTGTAATACAATTGAATTTTTGGTACCCCTGAAAACTGGTGCTGAAAAAGTAATCTTATTTAAACTTCATAGGTTATGCCTCTTGTGAATCATGATTAATAATATGTAATCATTCGCAAATAAGCAATAATTAATAAAAATATCGATATGTAAGAATAAGTATAGTTAAAAAATTCCTATTGCTTGCATAACATAAAAATTTGCTATGTTGAATAGTATGATTTGAATATCACATAATTTTGTGGACATGCATGTCCGTGAAATCATGTGATAATATTTAATATCAGTTTGAGTGACATTCGAATCATGCTATTCAGCATAGCAAATTTCAACTTTATCAGTATATTGTATTGCCCATCTTTACTTTTATCAGTTTGTTCATCGACAGTCATCTAACTGAGTTTATTTAACTGATCCTGTATCATATAGGGATAGGGTTAGCATTTGATTAGTTGCAAGTATATATTTTGGTAAATTGCAACTTGGTGTGCTAGCTAAATAATTGTTGATGAAGTATAGTAGATCCTGTATTTATATTATTGTATATACAGTATATTAATGAATATAATATTTTTTTTATAGATAAATATGGAAATGCTAAAGCGATAATATACTCAGGTTCAACATTCATAAGAATCCGCAGTGGCAAACATGATACTAGCACTGTTTACACCTATAGTAAAAATTTTGATGACCTAATGTCTGATGAGAGATTGCATAATTTTACTACCACAAAAGATGGTCAGTCGAAACCCGTTATTTTAATGATAAGTGATGGTGGTCCTGATGAGAATCTGCATTATAAGAAGACAATCCAGGTGATGATTGAACACTTTATAAAATATGATCTTGATACAATCATAGTAGTATGTTTTGCATCGTATCAAAGTACATCTAATCCTGTTGAGAGGCAAATAGCATCTTTAAGTCACGATTTAGCCAGGATAATACTTTCTCATAATACTTTTGGGTCACATTTAGATAATCAACTAAAAACAGCTAATGAAGAACTAGAAAAAAGTAATTTTAAAATGGCAGGAGAGATTTTGGCTTCTGTGTAGAAAAATACTACTATTAACAGTTATCCAGTTTTAGTTAAATACGTAGACCCCGAAGAACCTTATCAATCAAGATTGAATGAAAAATCTGCTACTTGAATAGAAAAGCATACTATGACTTGTCGCTATATTACTCAGGTTATCAAATGTAATGATACAAGTTGTTGTAGGCCTTTCCACAGTAAGATCCTTCAGCTTCTTTTTAATCAGTTTTTTCTTCTCCAATTTTGGTTTAGCAAAAGTCACATGGTATTTGTGTAGCAAGTATAACTGCATCTGATGATACAACACATTTTAGTAACTTTCTGCTATCTACATTGATAGAAAGAAAGCTTATTTCTCCAGAGATGAATCTTTAGCATTTTTCTTTCGATTAGTATAGTTCCACTATTAACAAATCTATTAATAAGTACTTTTGCTCTTTTTGTCATCAATACTTCGGTTTAAAAAAATCTTTAAAATACTATATTCAAAAATGTTCATATAAATCATCCAATTTGCTTACGGATAATTAAGGTTTTCAAGATACAGATCACTTAGTATACCCTATTGTGGTCATTAACAACTACCAGTACAATGAATTTTTAGTTAGTAATAAAAAGATGAAGCAATGTGGATAAAAGAAGATACAATACCTGAGGATACACCAGAATTATTATTTCAGGAAGTAAAACACATTCGCACAAATCAGGATCATCAAGCACACCTTATTGACTAGGAGACTTGGAAATCTGAGTAGACAAATAATGAGTAAAGTTTTACACCTATGATTTTTTTTTTATTATCCTATTTTTTATTTAGAAAAAAACTGAACTTTTATATAGGTAATATGTCTATTGCAGCTATCCCTTAGATTGTAGACCAATGCAAGCAAATTTGTCTGTGTTGGTACTATAAATATGCTACTGATCTATTTTTTTAACAATTTAGAATATTCAAATAAAATTTGGTATAATAATATTTGA